ACAGTCCCTATTCTGCTCTGTGTCAGTGTGTATCAGGGATCCTTAGGACAGGTGTCAATCCATATCTGTCAAGTGACCCTATGTAGGGGGAACAGTCTCTATTCTGCTCTGTGTCAGTGTGTATCATGGTCTCTGAGGACAGGTGTCAATCCATATCTGCCAAGTGACCCTATGTAGGGGGAACAGTCTCTATTCTGCTCTGTGTCTGTGACTATCATGGTCTCTGAGGACAGGTGTCAATCCATATCTGCCAAGTGACCCTTTGTAGGAGGAACAGTCCCTATTCTGCTCTGTGTCAGTGTGTATCAGGGATCCTTAGGACAGGTGTCAATCCATATCTGCCAAGTGACCCTATGTAGGGGGAACAGTCTCTATTCTGCTCTGTATCAGTGTGTATCATGGTCTCTGAGGACAGGTGTCAATCCATATCTGCTCAGTGACCCTATGTAGGGGGAACAGTCTCTATTCTGCTCTGTATCAGTGTGTATCATGGTCTCTGAGGACAGGTGTCAATCCATATCTGCCAAGTGACCCTATGTAGGGGAACAGTCTCTATTCTGCTCTGTGTCAGTGTGTATCATGGTCTATGAGGACAGTTGTCAATCCATATCTGCCAAGTGACCCTATGTAGGAGGAACAGTCTCTATTCTGCTCTGTGTCAGTGTGTATCAGGGGCTCTGAGGACAGGTGTCAATCCATATCTGCCAAGTGACCCTATGTAGGGGAACAGTCTCTATTCTGCTCTGTGTCAGTGTGTATCAGGGGCTCTGAGGACAGATGTCAATCCATATCTGCCAAGTGACCCTATGTAGGGGGAACAGTCTCTATTTTGCTCTGTGTCAGTGTGTATCTTGGTCTCTGAGGACAGGTGTCAATCCATACCTGTCAAGTGACCCTATGTAGGGGTAACAGTCTCTATTCTGCTCTGTGTCAGTGTGTATCATGGTCTCTGAGGACAGGTGTCAATCCATATCTGCCAAGTGACCCTATGTAGGGGGAACAGTCTCTATTCTGCTCTGTGTCAGTGTGTATCATGGTCTCTGCGGACAGGTGTCAATCCATATTTGCCAAGTGACCCTATGTAGGGGGAACAGTCTCTATTCTGCTCTGTGTCAGTGTGTATCAGGGGCTTTGAGGACAGGTGTCAATCCATATCTGCCAAGTGACCCTATGTAGGGGGAACAGTCTCTATTCTGCTCTGTGTCAGTGTGTATCATGATCTCTGAGGACAGGTGTCAATCCATATCTGCCAAGTGACCCGATGTAGGGGGAACAGTCCCTATTCTGCTCTGTGTCAGTGTGCATCAGGGATCCTTAGGACAGGTGTCAATCCATATCTGCCAAGTGACCCTATGTTGGGGGACCAGTCTCTATTCTGCTCTGTGTCCGTGTGCATCAGGGGCTCTGAGGACAGGTGTCAATCCATATGTCAAGATGTCAATATGTCATATGTCAGGTGTCAATCCATGTTCATTGTGATTTAGGAATGTTAGGTGATTTCTGCCCTTTATGGATTAAAACCAGACTCTGCATCAACTGTGTAATTTTCCATGGGAGTTTTGCCATGGATCCCCCTCCGGCATGCCACAGTCCAGGTGTTAGTCCCTTGAAACAACTTTTCCATCACTATTGTGGCCAGAAAGAGTCCCTGTGTGTTTTAAAATTCGCCTGCCCATTGAAGTCTATGGCGGTTCGCCCGGTTCGCCCGGTTCGCCCGGTTCGCCCGGTTCGCCGGTTCGCGAACATTCGCGGAAGTTCGTGTTCGCCGTTCGCGAACCGAAAATTTCGGGTTCGCGACATCACTACCCATGAAGCTTCCATATTTTCACGTCACACTCCACATGAATTTAACTCATGGTTGACATACAAACATATCCCACCACCCTTCTTGTTTTTCCTATCCTTCCCAAATAACGGGTACCCATTTAAGTTTACTGCCCAGTCACGTGTCTGATCCAACCATGTTTCTCTTATGCCTATTATATCATATTGTTTAGTGTATGCTGTTGCCTCTAGTTCCCCTATTTTTATTTTGGCTCCTTGCACTTGTAAGCATATATTTAATATTATCATGAGTCATTTGTACTTTTTTTTTTTCATCTTATACTGTGCTTAAGCCCATCCTTTCTATCCTATCTCCATTTTATAGATTGCATTGACCCTCCCTCCCAATACTAGTTTAAAATCTCTTCCAACTTTCTAGCCATCCTATCCCCCAGCACAGCAGACCCTCTTCCGTTTAGGTGCAATCCATCACGACTATACAGGTTGTACCCAAGCGCAAAATCGTCCGAGTGCTCTAAGAACCCCAAACCCTTTTTCCTGCACCAAGAGTTCAGTTACGCATTGCCTGCTCTAATTTCCCGCTGCCTTTCTGCTGTGGCACGCGGCACAGGTAATATTTCTGAAAAAATTACCTTGAAAGTCCTTTATTTACTTCCTTGTTCCCTGAACTCATTCTTTAGGACCTTCCATTTTCCTCTGACTTTGTCATTGGTACCAATATGGACCATGACAGCTGGGTCATCCCCAGCCCCTCCCAATAATCCCTCCACTTTGTCGGCAACATGCCGGACCCGAGACCCAATCTACTCTCTTAATAATAGAGTCCCCTACCACCACAACCTGTCTAGCCTACCTTACCCTCTCAACCCCACCCATACTAGAGGGACCATAAGTGTCAGCAAACTTACTATTTATTAATTAATCTAAGAAATATAAAACAAGTTTATAAAAAGCAAACACTTAAATGGCAAATGTCCAATAATAAGCTCACTGTCTCCAGGACACATTTCACCAGTTAAATCCTAGGCTTCCTCAGATGGGTGAAAAGTAAGTGACCATACCTGATGGACCAGTCTTGCTATATATATCCACTTAACAAAAGAGATAATTACTAAGCAATGGCTTCTTCCATTTGTAGCGCTGTTGCGTCATATTCAGGTTTTGATATGTTCATGACATATATTCAGTTATAGCTCTTTTCTTGCATTCCAGCGGCCATATTGGTTTCAGCAGTATGTTACCTTGCGCTTCAACAACATGTACTTCTTACATATCCAAGTGCATCTTTTTATATATAGATCATCAGTCCCATAAAAACTCCATATACATAATGTAAATGAACACACAAAAGACAACAAAAGAGAAACATTAATTATATGTATTCCAACCTCTCCAATAGAGATGTCTCAACATGGATGCTGTCCAGGAAGTAGGAGGGTCTGGGAGGGAGGGTCTCCTACAGATTGGCCGGGATGTGTCAGCTGACCGGAGTTCGTCGCGAACAACTCGTGGCGAACCGCGGTGAACCGTTCGCTAGAAGTTCGCGGACGGTTTGCAACATCTCTACTCTCCAATTACTCATAAAGAGAGGATAGGAGGGCATATATTTAAAAAGTGTATATTAAAAATATTTATATAAAAAAATCCTAGCCCAATTTTGCAAAAATATATATTTCCAAAAACTAAACAAAAATATAAAAAATTTAAAATATACATGATTAAACTTAAAAATTACACATTCTAAAATCAGAATTTAATCCATAAGGGATGAGGGTATTTAATTTAAAAATCCATTGCATCTCTATTTTGTTTAACTTGAGATCAAAATTCCCTCCTCTCCAATCCTTACTTACTTTTTTCAACCCCATGAACACAATACCGCTAGGTTCACTACTGTGACATTGTTTGAAATGGAGTGACATACTATGGTTTTTAAAACCTTTGATAGTCGTAATGTGTTCTTTTATCCTAATGTGTAAGGCTATGGTAGTTTTACCACGGTAATTTAGACTACATGGACATTGAATTAAATATGTAACATTTTTGAATAACATGTAATAAAATCTTTAATAGGGTATTCTCCTTCTTTAGTTGTAAAACCTTTATTTTTTCTTTTACTCTTTTTTTTCTCCTGCAGGCAATTGCATCTAATCATTAGGAATTGTCCTCTGGGGGCATTCTTTAACCACGGTGTAAAATGGCAACTTTCTCTCTATAAAACTATTGACATCTACTGTTTTGAAATTATTTTTAGTCTTAGTATGCTCATCTTCAAAAAAATATTTAAATCTAGAAATATCAGTTCCTGTTAAATCCAAATATTGGTAAGTTTAATAACCCATGTATTTTCATTCAAAAATATTAAAACAATTCCTCAGATCTTCTTGCTCTTCTTTCCATATAAAAAATATAATCTATATACCAGCCATATGTGACCAAGTTTCCCTCCCAGCCATGT